GTTTGCTACAGGGCCTGTGCGCTCACCAGAGAGGGAGGAGAGGGAAAGCAAGCCTCCAGGTCTGGAACTCAAACCCTGGATGGCCATGTGGGAGCCCAGCGCCTTAACCTGCCGCAGTCCCTTCTCATCCCTCCGCCTGGGGTTTGGGGCGCGCCCTGTGTGGTCCAGCCGCGGATCCCATTGGAACCGGGTCTGAGGCCCAGCTCTGCCTGCAGGGGGCGCTCCTGCCCCAGCTCCCGGGAGCCCGCCTTGGCTTCTGGAGCCGCAGGAACCCACCGGCGTCCCGCCAGCGCGCGTCCTTGTCCCTCCCCGCCCGCCCTGCTCTGGCGTTGCAGCTGCCGCCCAGGGACATCGTCCACTCCCACCCCCAGAAAGGCCGACGTGCCCGGGACGCGGGGTGGGTGAAGGGCGGGGAGCGTCCCCGGCGCCCTTGTCTGGACGGCGCGCGTCTCCCAGGCCCTTCTCTGTGCAAGGCAGAGGGCCGGGCGGGGACACGACAGCGACAGCGAGCAGCCGGGTGCCCAGGAGGGCCTGGGTCCGCGGCTCCCAGCACGCGCTAGCCGCGACCCAGGTGAAACCACACGGGAGGACTGAAAAACGGAAGTAAGGGCTACTGGAGATCAGATCAGATCGGCGGATGGTTCACCGTTGGACGCCCACATGGTGGACCGCGGTTCGAGTCCCGGACCCGGTGGCTTAAACTCACGCCAGGCGCGTGTGCGTGTGCCCAAGATCCTGAGAGGAGAATGGAGGAGAAGGGATTGTGGCGTGGCCATCCCCCCAGGGGGTGATTTCTCGCTTTCTGTCTCTCTGTCTCTCTCCATCTGTCCAGCGAGGACACGTGCCCCATAGTAAAAGCATTTCTCTCAAAAAAAAGAGGGGGACTGGCAGGTGGCATCGTGATTAAGGTGCTGGATTCCACCAGGTTGCTGGCGGTTCGAGCCCCAGACCTGGCAGCTTGCTTTCTCACTTTCCCTCTCTCTCTCTCTGGTCAAATTTAATAATTTTTTTTTTTAAAAAAAGACTAGAATGAAATGCACCAAACCACAGGAGAGGGCCGACTGCTCATTCTCTCCCTTTCTCCTTCTCTGTCTCTTTCTGGTCAAATTAAAATAAATAACAAATGGAATTAAATAAATAAATAATTTTTAAAATATTACTTATTCAATTTTATTCATTCATTCATTCATTTATTTTAATTTGACCAGAGATAGAAAGTGAGAAGGCAGCCACCAGGTCCGAGACGCGAACCTCGGTTGGCCATGTGGGAGTCCTGCCAGCCCCTCAGAGGTGGGATTTGAACCGCACAGTTGGCCATGTGGGATCCGGCTCCCTTAACCACTAGGCTATGGGGCCAGCCCGCTCGCTTTTTTCTTTATTAAAGTAATTTTAGTTTTTAGATTTTTGCCGCAGGGTGCATGCATGTGCTGGAGAGAGACGAGACAGAGCGGGAAAGCAAGAGACCCTCCAGGTGGGGTGGCCACGCTGGGCTCCTCGCCTCCGTTCTCTTCTTGCAATTTTGGGCACACGCGGACATGTTCCCAGTGTTTTCAAGCTGCTGGGTCCAGGACTCGAACCCCTGTTGGCTGTGTGGGACTCCAGCGCCTTAATGCACCACACCATCCCCTGGCCCCAATGCATTTATTTTTTTACATAAAAATGATTTTATTTAAAAAGCTTCAGGCTTACAGAAGACCTGTGACCACACGAAGAATCCCCACCCCATGGCGCGAGCGGAAGCCTCCTGGCCCACAGCCTGGCGGCTGCACTTGCCCAGAACTGGAGCGTGGCTGGGGCCGCGGGCCCGGGGGCTGTCCCGGCCCCCCACCGGGAGAGGAAAGCACGGGGTCTGGAGCGGCTGGGGCCCGGGGACAAGCTGTCCCTGGCAGGCGGCAGGCGGCTGGGGGCAGGCAGAGGTCAGCGCCCGGCCTGCGGGCCTGGCGGGCGTGGTGCCACCTGGAGCTGGAGACTTGGCACACACTCCCCGAACCCCACGCGCGCCAGGCGGGGCGGGAACAGGGGCGGGGCGCGCCTGCGCCGAGGCTCCGCCCTCCCCTGGTTCTGGCTCAGCCCGACCTGTGGGCGAGGGCGGGCGAGGGCGAGGGCAGGGCGAGGGCAGCGTCCAGTCACAGCCAGAGCTCAGAGCGGTTGGGATGGCGGTTGGCGCAGAGTGGAGCCCCTGGGGACAGCTGGGGAAGTGGCCCCTGAACTGGGCGTTGCAGGTGCAGGTGCAGGGAGAGGCCTGGCTGGTTCGAGTCCTGGACCCGAAGGCGAGTGCCCAGATCCTGGGAGGATTATGGAGAAGGGATGGCGACGCGGTCATTCTCCCTGGGGGTGATTTCTCACTTTCCCTGTCTCTTTGGGGAGCACATGCGCCCCACAGCACAAACCCACCAAAAAGCAACAGCCAGGAGGCCCTGGAGAGATCAGGTTCCCCGAGGGAAAAAGGGAGTGCCCCGCTGGAGGCACCGAGAGGAGGGGGCCCCGCCTGGGAGCCTGGCCCCCAGGGCGAAGGGGTCGAACAGGGCACACGGGGACAGCCGACGTCAGCCAGGGACAATTCCTGCCACCACACGCAGTGCAGACTTGGGGCCTGAAGGACGCAGTGCTCTGTGGGAAGTCTCACTGGCGTGGGCGCCCTAAAGGAGAGGCTCAGGCCGGTGACGGAGGTGGCCTGGGAGACCACAGACCGCTTCTGGGTCCCCTGGGGAGCGCTGAAAGCGAAGTCCCCCCCACAGGGGAAGGACAGACACCACATGGTCCATCCACACGGGACCAGCCTCTGCATGGACAGGTCCGAGGCCACAGCGGGAGGCCACAGAGCAGGACTCCTTTCCTGGCCGTGCAAGCCTGGGGCTGCCTGGACGCGGGGCAGGCGGGGTGGGAGACTTAGTCCAGAGATTTCCGGGCTTCCCAGCCGGCACCCTGCAGTGACAAAGGCCGCAGCAGGGCTGGGAGACTTCAGCTGGGCGCTGGTGGGTCTGGGGGGCTCGTGGAGTTGGCTGGACCTTCTAAAGGGGCCACCCGGATTCACTTCAGGCTAAATCTTCCTGGGGTCCCCAGAAGCGTCCCACGCTGGAGTCAAGCCCCACACTGCTGGCCACGACCCTTCCGGTGGGCAGTGCGGGGCCGCATCACCCGTACTGTCCTTGCTCAGCCCAGGGTACGCCGTGCCACCTGCCAGCAACCGCGCCCAGCACCTGGCTACACTCAAATCCCCACGATGGCTGTGGAAACTCGGCTGTCGCCTGGGGCTGAGATTCTAACCCAGGCGCACACTCTTAAGCCCTGGGCTTTGCTGACCCCTTCAGCTCTCACCTCCAGGAAGCTCCCCATGCACTCCCACCCACTGACCTCTGGCACTAGCCCCAGCATAGCCGGCGGCCTGCAGCGGGAACTTAGTCCTGGGTGAGGGCCGGGACCCACAGGAGGCAGGGGCGGGCACGCCGCAAGGTTCTAATTGGTGCAGCTGCTCAGAGTGCCATGTCCCCTTTTCTTTTTTGAAAAGAGTTAATTCCTTTATCGTTATTATTTTTAATTTGAGCAGAGAGAGAGAAAGCCAGCCACCAGGTCTGGGACTTGAACTGTGGTCAGCCATGTGGGAGTTCAACGCCTTTAACCACCACGCCACCTGCCGGCCCCTGGTGTCCCCATTTCTGCAAGGAGCCCCTGTCTGCGAGGGTGGCAGGCGTGGCTCCCCAGGCCTGCCTCGGCCTCCGCTCTGGCCCTGCCCTGGAGGGCAGGCTGCCAGCCCAGAACCCAGCAGGGGCGAACCAAGCTGGCACGCCCTCTCCAGCCCTGCGGGGTCACGCCAGAGACCGAAGGCTGTGCACGGCGTGGGCTTTATGACTTTTATTAAATCCTTACAAAACAGAATACAAAATTCTGGCATCAACAGTGGGTGGGAAGGAGACCCGAGCCCTATCAGCCACCTGCTACAATGGGTTAAAGTGCTTGGGTGTCCCCCATTTTAAAAAACTTTTTTTTGTCTTTTTTGCCACGGTTCCGCGGCCAACCCCCCTCCCTGGCTCTGGAAGCGGGCCTGGGTCCTGGCCAGCCCTGGCCCGTCCTCATTCACAGTAACGCTCGGACCCACCTCCAAGGCCACGCGATGCACGGAAGGGGAGGGGTGGTGACTGTCCCACCTTCCGAGCTGGCCTCCCGCTGGGGCTGCTGCTGCCAGGGCCATCCGCCTGCTCTTAGATAGGAGACCCCAGATGCCGAACGCGGACCGCCCAGCAAGGATGGGGCGAGGTGCGCGAGGGCACGAGCCCCCCCTTGTCACCCGGCTGTGACAGTCCTGCGACTCTGGAGGGCGGGGAGGGGGCCGGGCGGATAGCGCCGGTGCCCCCCATGAGGCCCCCGACATTCAAGTATTCTCCCGGCACAGGGAGGCCGAGTCCGAGGGGGTTCTCTTGGAAAACCAGGCGCGCGGACAAGCTGACCGGCCAGGCCGGCCTGGGGCATGGCGGGCGCCCGGGTGGAGACAGAATTGCATAGTAGTTGGCCGGGCCGGGGTCTCCCGGTGCCCGGGAGTCGACCGGGCCCTGGGTCGGAGTGCACGGGACCCCGGCCATTCCTGGGTGCCCAGAGGGAGGCCGTTTTCCTGAAGGTGGGCAGACCAAAATGCTACCCTTGGGGGGGCTCGGCGGGGCGCCCCGGCCCAGCCCCAGCTTGGGGATGGGGAGGGGCGGGGGGCAGGACACGGCCGCGGTCAGTCAGACTGAGCCCTGAGAAGGGGCACTCGCGTGCCCGGGGTGGGGGTGTCTTTGGCCCCCCACGTTGGCCGGCGGTCCCTGTCCAGCCCCCTGGTCGAGACAGCTGTGGACGCTCCATCCCAGGTGGGGTGGTGGCAGTGGGCGCGTCCCCGTCAGAGGCTAAGCTGGGGGGCTGGGCCGGAGGGGTCTGGGGGGGCGGG